ACACATTTTTATACATTTATTATAATTGATGTATTATATTTTTTTGTAAGTTTCTCGCATTATTATTAATCTAAAAGAGTTTTCCCAATATAGAATCTTAAAGATAAAAAAGCAGCCCCACCAAGTATCTTCTATTTTATTAGCAAGACATCTTTAACAAGCAAAATTTTGGGAGAAAGTGACACCCTATAAAAGGAAGCTCATTATAAAACTTCTAATGAAATATGTGGTCATCAAGTATCTAGAATAATAGAGCGAATTTCAATGACGAATATTAGGTTTTCTATCATAAAAGCAAAATTTTCATTGCTGCAGGCTAGAATATACGCGGCGGTAGAGTTTGTAATTTTACGTCCAAACGTTGTACGAATATTCAGCATACAAAAACAGGAAAGGAGAAAATGAACACCAGGATTTTTATGTGGAAAACCCAAAAAGGAAAAAAACCACGGGGCCACGCCCAATTGAAGTAATTCCACTAGTGTTCGTTTGAAATACAGAGGTTGATTCGTCCCACAAGTTAGGATGATCAATCGATCAGATTACAATATGTTTATTCTAAATTGAAACAAAGTTACAAAGTTTTGCAAAATTCCGACGTCTCCCGAAAATCCAGCAGAATTCTGGCGTATTCAGGCGGCGGAAAGAACTCCGGCGGTGGTCGAGGAGGAGCTGATTCTCCTCCTTCTCTTCTCTTCTTCTCTCTCTTCTCACTTGAGTCCTCTTGTGAAAAATGAGGGCTCTATTTATAATTTTATGTAGTGGCATGACTTGTAAATATGTGTGAGATCATGGGTGAATAGAGAGTGGTCGAATGGACGGTAGATGTTGAATCCTTCGATCTTGCACCGTTTGTTGGACATTTGAAGGCCTTAGTGATGTCGGAATTTGGCGATGTTGGGCTCGTTGGATTCGTCTCGTCGAGCCGTTTGATTCGAGTATAAGCTCGTTAAAATCGGAGACCATTTGGTAACTCAAAGCGTGATTCGAATCTTCCAACAGCACTTCGAGTCTTCGATTCAGACTCATTTGAACTCGGATTGAGTTGAGTTTGGTGTCGTTGGGTTCGTATTTCCGAGATGCTCAGTTTGACTATAAGCTCGCTGAAATTGGAGTTCAGATGCTCCTGAATTTAATTTTTGAAATTTCCGGTTCAATTCTGCCTCGATATTCGTGCTTGATTAAGATAATTTTTTGAGAATATATCAGTCATATTACAGCAATCACATTATCTCATTTTTCTTTGAAAAAATTACGTAAAGACATCCTCATACATTTTGTATCAAAACATAGTTGAATGTACTTAGAATTACGTTGATATTGATTTAGTTCATTATATCATATATAAATAATAATATCAACACAAATGTAAGGACATCTAAATATACCTTAAACCTTAAAATACATCAAAACATTCTCACACAATCTCAAGCTCTTAATTAGACCCCATGCATATTTTGCGGAATTCTAAGAAGAAGTAAGTCTTCTTGGGATCTGTTGGTTTGGATGACTATTCTAGTTTGATGGTTGGGATATGGTTGTGAGTTCTCTCCGCTTCGCTGTTTGGATCGGGCATGTTGTGGCTCTTTCTTTGTTTTTCTTTGATGTTTCCTCCTTGCAGGGTGCTATCTAGTTGAATGTCTTCTGATATTGACTATGGTTACTTCTGCTTGGCCTCTAATTGGTTAGACTAATCTTGACTCAGTTTGAAATCTTGTTGGGTATTCTCTGTTGTTCGCACCGGTTGTTTCCTGTTGGCTCAGTTGGCCGTTCTTGGGTGGCTCCCTTTATGGTTCTTGCTTTTGATTTTTGTATTTTCTTTTGTTCGATTGTGTATTTAGACTGAATTTAAGGCTCATATGTTTTATTTTAAATGATGTATTTTATAGGGCCTTGGATTCTTTAATGACTTGTATCATAATTTTTATTTAACATGTAGGGTGCCCCTAATGTGGGTTTTAACGACAAAAAAAAAAAAAAAAATCAAGCTCTTAAATTTTTTTTCGCAAAACTCTCAGTTCGTCATTATATTACAAGTCTGTGGCAACAATAGCCTAATTGACTCAGCATTTGGGTCAAATTTTACTAAGCCAAACTTGATTTGACTCTTTATTTACTAAATAATTATTAACATAATTAGTGGATGGCATGCTATAAAAATCTCATTAAAGTAAAGGGTCAATCATCCACATTCACAACAAGCTTATGGTAGACAAAGTAATATTTATTACTTTTGAATGCATAAATTGACTATATTTCATATGATGTAAATATTGTAATTATTTTATGGATAATTAATATGATGTAAAGATTAGTAGATTGAATAACTACTCTGAATAGTACTATGAATTTTCTATAACGATATCATAATACTTCATCTTTATTAATATAAAATAATAGGATGTCATAAAATAATTTTCTTTTAAGAATAGTGTATAAATCAATGCTCTAAGAAATATATTTTTCATTTTTTATGTACGTAATTAGAACTTCTCTTACAACAATTGCTCAAAATAATTTAAAAATTAATATTTTACTATTTTTTGAAAGCATATATCAAAATGTTATGCTATAAAAAAGAGCTATTTATACTATAAAAAGGAGTATTTATAAAATGAAAAAAACAATGTATTTTAAAAATATTTTGATATAAAATATATTTTGATTTTTTTTTCCAAAATTCATTCAATAAAAGGAATAAAACAACCAAATCCAAAGGAAAAAAAATCAAAATACAATACTATAATTAGCAAATCAAGGCAAACAACAACCGTACTCAGGAACTGGCATGTGCGTTTGAACAACCAACTAGAAGTCAGACAAGGACCATCCATTGGAGGCAGCAAGCACTGACCAAGCATCAACCCACATCCAAAATAAATGCCACCAATCATAACGAGATAACGCACCACCAAGGTTGACAACAAGCCAATGTCATCAAATGGTTGTGCAGAAGTCCGCCTCATCATTGTCCAGGCCAATAAATTGTGACTCACAACTGAAAAACACATCAACCAGTCCAGTAGAACTAAAATAATTTTTTTCAATTGTACTAATTAAATTTTTGTTTGGAACATTTTTTTTATATAACTTTTTATGAAGCAGATTTTTAGTTCAATTTAAAAAAAAAATAACGAAAAAATTATTGATGAAAAGATGCATCAAATAAAGTCTATATATAAATTAAAAAATTTCAAGTTCCATCATAATATATTTTATATAAGAAAATAATTATTGCATATCATGTTAATGTCAAAAAAAAAGAAAGATTAAAAATTTAATATAATAAAATTTAAATGCCAAACTTAATATAGTCAAACTTCACGTCAACCAAGGGTATTAATGTAAATAAATGAACAAGACTGGACCGATGAATAATCAGCTGCCTTATTCGAATCGTGGCCATTCCATTAGTCCAAATTTCTGTGCCGGTTTACTATGGCTAAATCTACGGTCAACTTTAGTGTCCACCGTGGACATCTTCCGATTAGGTGCACGGAGCTTTGGGTATAAATTTTCGCAACATCACTTATTTATGAAGATTCGTGCAAGGATGTAGTAATACAATCAAACGGTTCAGATTGTCTAACGGACTCACGTGCGAGTCCGTTGATTCCAGGGTGTGAGCTTTGGGGCCCGCTTTATTTCCTACGGTGGCTAGTTAATGCGACTTGGTCCGTTGGTCGTGGCCCGCCTCCGAAGAAAGTGGTGTTTACTCAACTCCAATGGAACGGCAAATGGGTGTTTGACGTTCTTTCTTTGCTCCAATCAAGCGTCATTTTTTACGCAATTTGATCTAAGATGAACTGTGCGACGTCAATATTGACGTCGCACTGTTCATCCGCCATTTGTGTTTTTTTTTTAATTCAAAAATTAATTATTAATTTTAAAGATTTAAGTTTATAAATTTTTTATTACTAATTAAAATAATAAATTAGAAATATCTTTTTTTATAGAAATATAAATATTTTTTACATAATTAATTAATTTAAAATAAAATTTATGATTAAAAATATATAAAATGAAAAATGAGAAAGAATATAGTAGAAATATTTTTTTTAGTGTTAGAAGATGGAGTTAGATTGGATACAAACTACCGAATTTTGTTGTATTATTATATTTTGGAGTGAAAAATGAGTTTTTCGGTTGGAGATGCCCTAAGCTCAAGGAAGTTAGTTTTTTTTTTTATTAATTTATTAAATAAATAAATAAGAATATCTCATAAATATTTGAAATTAATAGAAACTTCAGTTAATTAAATCAGAAGCAATGGCTTCCGAAGTAACTCCGACGTTTTTAATAAATCAATAAATTAATCCTTAATTTTAAATTTAATTATGATCATTTTTAATTAATTTTTATCTCCAATTTTAATTAATTTAAAGATTTTAGCTCAAGTTTCTCTAAAAATCATTTTTCTAATGAAAAATTTCACTTAAATACAATTTATATTAATCCATAATAAAAATAGTTTCAATTCAGTTTAAAATTATTAAACTTATTCAGAGCAAGCAGTTTTCTCGGGGCCGCCGTTTCGATTTTTCCGTGCGGCCACTTTGGTTTCGAATCGCACCCACCCAAAAGCAAAAACTACAGAACCAACCCTGGGAGGACAAAAGCGTAAATAATTATTTAAGAAATAATAACGGGAACAACAAAAGCGTTCACCGCCGTACCATCGCAACAAATTCACAAATTTCTTAGAAAGTAAATAATTTCAGCAAATCGCCAAATCCCGTCTGTAATTAATGCCATTAACACGCACCATAAGTGAAGAAGAAGCAAAAAATTAAAACAAGACATGAAGACTATGCATGACTTTGGGAATTAGGCGTTTCTTAACAAAGATTTTAATAAAATTCAAATATGATTTTTTTTTAAATTAAAAAAATAATAATCTAATCCATTTATACATAGACGGAAATACTTAAATTAAATAAAAAAAAGCTCCTTTTTTATCGTTACACTCTCTCTAGTTGTCCAGTTCTGTAGCAGCACCACGCCTTCTATTCTTTGTTTTGGGTTTCTTTTGGTGGAAGAATGCTTGTCACCTACTCCTCTTAGTTCCCACTCGCTCTCACTCTCCCCTCTTTGAGTGAAGAAGAAGAGCTATCAGCAAAGCAATTTTGTAATGGAGTAGAGGGAGAAGAAAGAGAAATAGCTGAATCTACCCTATCTCTTTCTTCGATCTCTCTGCTTCTTGGACATGGAGAGGCATGTTTGCAAGCTCTGTGACCGAAGCTTTTCCAATGGCCGCGCGCTTGGCGGCCACATGCGCTCTCACGTTGTGGCTGTCGCGGCTGCCGCCGCGGCCTCGGTGAAATCGCTTCTTTCCGACTACTCATCTTCCTCAACTTCCTCCCGCGAAGCAGAGGAGGCGAAAGGGCTGGGCTACGGCCTTCGAGAGAATCCTAAAAAAAGCTTCCGCATGGTCGATCCGGAGTTCTCGTCATCAGTTGTTCAGGACCGAGAAAGCGAAACGGAGTCCTCCCCTATCACAATCAATCGACGCCGCAAAAAGCGACCGGCTCCGGAGCTACCGGAGACTGAACTGCTTAGCTCTGTCTCCGACACCACGCCGGAGGAGGACGTTGCCATCAGCCTAATGTTGCTGTCTCGTGATGTTTGGAGCAAGGATGAGGAAGTGAACAAAGCAGATGAAAGAGTAGAGGAGATGATGATGATTGACTTAAAGCCGCGGTCTTTGCAAGCGAAGGGGCGAAGCCGATTCCAGTGCGGCACTTGCAAGAAGGTATTCCGGTCATACCAAGCTCTCGGCGGGCATCGCGCTAGTCACAAGAAGTCGCGGAGCTGTGTCCCGCCGATCCATGTTGAAGGCTCGACGGAAGCCAATGCCGACGCCGACGGAAAAAGCGTTCATGTTTGCCCAATCTGCTTCCGAGAGTTCGGCTGTGGTCAAGCCCTCGGCGGGCACAAAAGATCCCACCTTTCGTCTTCGACGACCGCCATTACCATCACTTCGCAGCCACGCCCTGCTAAGCTTAGCGAGAGCTTATTTGATCTCAATCTCCCCGCTCCATTAGAAGATGCTGCAGAGCTCTCCGCCGTCTCCGAAGCTGAGTTCATGACTTCCGGTCTTGCTTGAACTGAAGAAACCGACTTCGTTTGCCGTTCTCGAGGTAAGGTTCGATGACTGTAACTGACTCTGAAAACAATGAAATCGCACTGAAAAGAATTCATCTGGAAAGCTGTTGATTTTGCTTGTTCGTTTGTATCCAAAGTTTCCGCTTACTCTCTGCTTTCTTTTACTCTTCTCGGATATCATTGATTTCAATTTCTTTCTTTTGTTTTTCCCTTCAAGTTCACTTTTTTATTATAGAATCGTTTTTGGGTTCTTAAGTTACAGTTGCCCACAGTAACATCTGAGCAGCGATAGGATGTATTAAATTGAAACCCTTAAAAAAATTGTAAAAAACCTGACGGTCTGCTTCGCAGAGCTTACTTAACTGCTTAATTTGCTATTTTAAAGCATAAAAATTACATCTTTCGAGCATTTTCTTATTGCTTTCATGATTTCTTAGTCTGATAAGCTTCACTGTCACCATTAGTACTTGTTCTTTTCCTCTCTTCACCTTCCTCCCCTTTTGCCAGTTCCTCGCCGCTTCTTCTTCGCTCACCTTTCCCCCTTCCGGAGCCTACCGATACAATATTAATTGCAGCGCTAATTTAGCTCTCCGCGATTTTAATTACAATGAGTTTAGCACGTAGCAGTTGGTGATCGTCGCCGTCCATTCACTTTCAGTTGATCTCAGCCGTTAGTTAGGTGGATCGTGGTCCCTTCCTAACACGTGGGCCTGCACAGTGGTACGTTTGATCTCTAATGGACGCTTCTGATGGGTTTACTTACACTATCCCAGGCATAGTTATCATTTTTTAAATAATAAAAAACATTAAAGTCCTTTTAATTTGGTTTTTAAAATTTGAGCTTTATTAGCGGGTCGCTGGGAGAACATGCCGAGAAAGCGCGGGTTCAGTTTTACTTCGACCGGGCCTTCGGCCGGCTATTTGGGTAGAAAAGCTTGACAGGCCGGGCCGGGCCAAGCTAGCCCGGATCTTGATGGGTCTGCTCGATGGCATCCTCTTTCGGCGCGGTGGGCTCCATATTTGATCAGCCTTTCTATTATGACTATTCCTTTTTAACACAACTTGTATATATACACACCAAATAAACCTACATTTGCATTATTATGTGAGTTCATATCATACACTTACAAAATCCCTAAGATTTTGGTATTTAATAAGATTTGTAGCATTATTCTTAACTTAGGTTTTGTTTGGGACAATTTTTTTATTATTTATTGAAGCAACTTTCTAGTAAAAATTTAATTTTATACTAAAAAGCTGACTTAAGAAGCAGTAAAAAAGTCGTCCCAAACGAAGCGTTAGGCTTCATTTGAGACTCTTTCTTACCGCTTCTTAAAGTAGTTTAATTGTACAAAAATTAGTAAGAAAGTTATTCCAAAACTTGTTATATTAGACAAGCTGGAGCCGTCGCTCAATTCTTATGCGTTCAATTTAACTCACACACAAATTTATCTATTATAAAGACGGTTGAAATGATAAATTAAATGTATTACTTTAAGTAACATAAGAACACAACTCTCCTTGGCCTATTGGTTGAGAGCTTAGACTTCCAACTAAGAGGTTCAGGATTCGAGTCTATGTGTATGCGTTGTGTGTGTGAGTTTGCCTTAAATGGCCTAAATGTCCAAAAAAAAAAAAAAAGTAACATAAGAAATATTTTCATATTATAAATAGTGACCTCACATGTAATATTTATTTATAAAAACCTAAGAGTTTGGGGTGATTGTGGAGGATAGATTATTCTATACATATATCAGATGACGCCCGGAGGCCAATTAGAACGCACTATGTCAGCCGGTACCCAGCATCAGTACCGAGCAAAAAAGAAACGTGGCGCGTTCTGGTTTGCTCGGTACCGGTGCTGAGTATCGAGTGATGTAGCATGTTTTGATTGGCCTCCAAACCACCTGGTGTCCGCACAGAATAATTTCTTGTTGTGGAGGGGTAAATTAGTCAATGTGCGAGACAAAAGGTTGCTGATCCAACTAACGGCCTGCTGAAGAAGAGTGCGGAAAATTCTGAGTTGGTAGAGAAAGGTCGGAAACTTGGAATTCCGGAATCCTCCGATGTCGATGTTTTCCTTATTTTTTTGTATCTTATTATTAAGAAATTATATATTGGGCCGTCATTTATGGGCCATGGGCCATGGGTTGGGTCTGTTGTACCCTTCCAGACGAAATTGATTCAGCAAGTACTTTGGATTGGAAGGTACGGCTTCGTCTTGGCGGTGGGCCCACAAATTGTTCTAAGATTAAAACAGAAGCATGTGTGCACATGAGCGCATCCGTTGCTTCTTACTATTTATATGTAATATTTGGTAATTCATAAAGCTGTTGTTTGGCAATGTTAAACCTGTGGAAATGCTGCATCAAATATTCGATACAAAATGCATTAAAATTTATAAATGTTTAATACATCCTTACATTAATTATATTTTAGATTTTTTTTTATTTCTTATTTTATTATTTTGATGTGCATGATTATATTGATGGAGTTGTTTGTAATATGTAAGTGGTCAACGTAAAAAAATTCTAAGTCATTATACATAGAATTAGTTTAAACTTATTTGTGATTAGCTAATAATTACAATACTTATCACTAACTAATAAAAAAATGAAGGTTGATAAAGCTAATTACAAATAATTAAGATAAAGCTAATAATAATGATAAAATTGAACTTATACAAATAATAAAACTATACGATGCAAAGATTTGACGTGCGTTATTCACTCTGTTAATGCATTGTTGAAGTGTGGGGACCCTAATTTGTACACTACTGCTCTAACAACCAGCCAAATGAAGCCCAAAGCAGAAGACATAAACCCAGACACCAATTACTTTTTTCTAGATTTTCGCCTACGACGTTTGCTTCCATAGGGAGAAAATGCTTTCTGAACAATACGACTCACATTCAAACTATATAACTCTTGAAACTCATCAACCGGTTCATCCAAATCATCCCCAACATCCCCACAAGGCGAAGAAACAGACCCATCTAGCAAATCAAAGTGATCCACACGAGTTTCTATCAAATTGGAAGACAATTAGATCATAATGTCACAATATAAGATTGCCAATTTATAAGTTTTAGGGATAGCAAATTTATATATAGATGTAACTAATACACAATACTACCACAATCAAAGCAAATAAAACATAATTAGTACTTTCCAATTAAAGTACATAGAACACCATGCCAATGTGTGGGCCCCATGTAGAAAGCTCATTCTTGCAAATACACCCTTCCACTATATCATAATTTTGCCAATTGTCATTATTTTTAAGAGTTTAGGGTTATAAAACTCATTAATTACCGATCATAATTTCATTCACTCGGTACGTGCAACCATTAGCTTTAATGAAAATTAATATTTTTACAGCAAAAATATCTTGTTAGACCTCAACAAGCATAAATTTGCATATTCAACCTTCTTAATTTCATTGTCTTCATTTATGGCTTAGAAATTAATTGTCATTTATATGTATGTGGTCACCTCTCAAAGCTGAACGACACAGAGAATAAAGAAATAGTGAGCTTTTGCTTATAGGAGAAATATGTTGAGAGAAAATGGCCTAATTTGGTAACTTTTAAAAGAGTTGGAGAATTTAACCCTAAAGATTGAGATTTTGCTTGCAAATTATATCAATTTTTTAGTTTTGAATGGTAAATTTATAAATCAATGAGGTGGGCCAAGTTATTATAGAGGGGATATGTTGTTTTTGAGATTCGAACAAAACTTTCTTCGTTGAAGAGTTTCTTTTTGTTCGACCAACCAAAGTGTTGCAACGCAAATGTGTTCTTTGCTTGATCATTTTTTCGTAGGAGATGATTAATTAGAATGCTGAATTTCTAACATATCAAGATGATCAGCTGCATGAAATATTGGATTTTGGTCAATGTTTCATGATCAACACTTAGACTTCGTTTGGGACGGCTTTCTAACTGTTTCATAAAGCAATTTTTCAAATGAAGCCTTAGTTATATGGATATTAACGTAAATATTTGTGGCTATGTGGTCTATAGTCCTTTGTTCCCATAGTAGAGATGAAAGTTTAAATGCACTAATCATTAAATTTTAATAATTACATTTAAATTCATTTAATGGCTCAAGAAAATAAATTTCATAAAATAGACTTTTGTGCATCTTGAAGTGATTCGATATCAATGAGTTGAAAACATCATTATTAATTCATTCTACTCTCGACGACGCACGAATTTTAACACAATTATCAACAAAATTAAGACTAACTAATTTTAATATTTTATTTCGGTTTTTCATCATCATTAACGTAATAAATGTACATGCATAGTTTTATATATTTATGCAGCAATATCTTCATAGATGCATGTACTAAAAAACTTTTTTAAGAAGCATGAAGAAAAAGAGTCCCAAACAAAGTCTGAAGACCGCTTTCTTACTGCTTCTTAAATCAATTTTTTTAGTACAAAGATTAAAATTTATGTGCTAAAAAATTATTTTAAGAAGCATTAATTAAGTGATATAATTAATACAGCATTACTCTTCATTTATTTAATTTTTAATTAATTTAGAAATGTTTCCATCAAATAGCTTGTTCAGAGATGCCCAAAATCCCTACTAAATATATCAAATTGGTCCCCTTCTGCTTTATTGTTCCATATCACGCAAGAATTGTCTCTCTGTTATGATATTACGTTGCAACAACCATTAGTTATGAGTAACTCTTAATAGTTGATTAGAGGCTCAAAACATTTCTTTAGCAATAGTATAATATCACGTGATACAAATGAGCCAAATTTAAGCTTTTTTTTAATTAATTTATTAAATATGATAATTGAGGTTTAGTTGAACCAAACTAATTATATTTAAAATATTAATATTGAAATAAATATTTCTCAAAAATTTTTTTTATCAAAATTGGCATAATTCTCTAAATCTTTGGTTAATATTTTAGGAATAATAAAATTAAATTTTGATAAATTCATCTATTATTTATCTAATAGTTTCATTAACAAATTGTTATTAGTAATGAATAAGACTATTTAATTATATGCTTAATTTGTTTAACAAATTGTATGGCTCTAATAATATAAATAATTTTAAAGAGTTTTGAATACAGGAAAATTGTTGAATATTGTAGAATGTATCATTAAATGAATAATTAATCATTATTAAATTAATATTTTATTGAGCTCTCAATAGCCAACTTAACAAACAACAAATGATTATGTTCACAAACAAAAATAAATAAATCAATGCCCAAATTTTAAAGATTTATTTAATTATATTAGCAAGCTGCAATCCAATAAATTCAGATGAACAGATTGCAAAGAAAGACCATAATTTGCATTTTATAAAGTTGCAAACCACCCAAAGAATGTATGATACAAAAGTATTGCTAGCAATATGCTCAAAATCTCCACTTGCGGTCCATATCAAATTGGAGTTTAGCTCCTTTATTAAAGGAGAGATTATTACGTGCGGAGATCGAACACAAAACTGTTTGGTTTTGTCTCTATGAATAGTAAAAATGCAGTGATGAACAATAAAAACACAGCTGACTGCACTTTTACTATTCACATAGATAAACCTGAAAACAACTGACCAACATTAGAAATAAGTATGCTATGCTGTGAAATCAAATTGTGTGGAGAATGTGAAGCACATTCTTGAACTGTAGCTCTCCTATATATTTCATATAACTAAAGCACCAATGATTTTGATACATCGAACTCGAACAAAATGATAAAGCATCAATGATTTTGATATATTGAACTTAAAAACAAATTGATAAGATAATCATTCGTCTAAAGCTTTGTTTGGGTCATCTTTCTTACTGTTTTTTTGAGCAACTTTTTATACAAAAATTTACGGTTCTTTCAATAAAATTTGGTGCTAAAAAGTTACTTTAAAAAGAAACAAAAAAAACTGTCACAAACGAAGCCTAAATCTTTAAAAGTTTCATACATGAACCCTTGCTAAGTTAATGTGGAAGTGTATAGAGTTGTGCAATGGATTGGGACAAAAGGTTGGAAGTAAGAAATATTAGAAAATTGTGATATTAGTCCAATATTTATTGTTTGTTATCAAGTTTTATTTCATGAACCATTTAACAATGCCTTCTTATTATTTTTTTTCATTTCCATCTCATCATTTGGCACACATCCAACATATGACTTGCATGATTCCTAAGAGTTTCATGCTATAAAGTCAAATGGGGTGTATTAAGAGCTCAACACAATTCTTTGCATAATTTTATAATATTACATTTTTTTTAAATTGTTAATTTATTGAGATTTTTATAGATAATCTTTTTAGATTTAGGATATGTTTAGGACAATTATGACTTTTTGTACTTATGATTGTAAAATTATTATGGTGATATTTTTTTTAAAGTTATTACAAAAAATAGCTTCCTAGCACATAAATTATTTTTTTAATAGAGAAAAATAATTCTTGAACTATAAATTTTGTGATAGCTTTCTTACTGTTTTTTAAAATAATTTTTTAATAAAAATAATTCTTGAACTATAAATTTTTGTACTAAAAGTTATTTTAGAAAGCAGCAAAAAAATTAAATGAAATGAAGCTTTAATCAGTGTAACCAAAAAAATCATTTTATAAGCACAAATTAATCTAAAAACTGTAAGACAATATAGCTTCTGATCACATTTTTTAATCTTTGCTCTAAATGTCTTTCAAGACTGCAACAACTGATTGTGAGATTAGAAATATTTCTGACTAAAGCTATTTATTCAGACATCTTTACAAAAGATCATGATTAAAACTCACAGCCACACAATCATAAGTGTAACGTGTTGTTTTGATTAAAGAAAAATGTGAATATTTAGTTACAGATGTTATGGCTCCTTCCAAGTCAGAAAAATATCAATGGTTAGTTCTTCAATTAAGTTTTCATTTGGGACAACTTTTTTGTTGCTTCTTAAAGCAGTTTTCTAGTAGAAAAATTTTAATTTTTATACTAAAAAGCTGTTTTAAGAAGCAACAAGTAAGTCGTCCCAAACGAAGCCTAAGGCTTCGTTTGGGGCAGCTTTCTTACTGCTTCTTAAAGCGGCTTTCTAGTACCAATAGCACTCCTTCCAAGCCAGGAAGGAAGCCATCCGAAACTGGGACGGCTTTTTTATTGCTTTTTAAAACGGAGTTTTAATACAAAAATAAAAAAAATTGTATTAAAACTCCGTTTTAGAAAGCAATAAAAAAGCCGTCCTAAACTAAGCCTAAATCTACTATTCATCAAGAGGAGAAGAGCTGGTATGCGAAAATAGAAGCTGGAAGCGACAGGGCATAATTCAAATCAAAGGAGAATAGAGAATAAACAAACAGGCAACGACCTGCTATAGCTTTCACAAGCTTAGGAAGGAAATTGACCACAAGAGCTTTATCAGCACGCAAAATATTCAGTGCGAACGACCACCTTTCAGTACAAGCAGCAGGAATCTCACCATATCTTATATTCTAAAGAAAGAAACGATTACAGAGCAAAACCAGGAAAGTAAATAAAATTAATTTGTGTTTAGCTAAGCTCAAAACTACGTGTAGGCTTGAAACAATTGCAAGCTATTTTTGATTCTCTCGTATCTTAAAGCGATTTCAATGCACCAAATGGTTAGCTCCTACATCTAGTACCTTACAACAGTCTGTCAGGAAATACTTGAGTTCGCTAGTAACCCTAAGAGAAATAATTGAGTTCGCAAGCAAGCCTAACGACAATTGGTGAAAACAGTGAGTAAAACTGCTGTTTACAGCAGAAAAATAGCAAAGAACGGCAGGTTTCTTCGGGAAAACAGCAGAAAATGAAGGATTCAACTAGTAGATGCAGGAAAACAGTAAAAGATACACGTTTCTTCAATTTGAGAGGAAGAAACAACTCTCCAAAATCTCTAGCCAAGTCTAGAGCTCAAAAGAACCAACCCTAAATCTCAAATCTGATTTCAAATTCAAGATACCTCCAAACCCTAACATGCTAGACAATATAAAGCAAAAGGAAGATTACATAATCCCTAAACAGCCCCTCATTCAAAATTTCCCTCTTAACCCGTGTTTAATTCAATCCCTGGGCCTCGCCAAGGTTGCCCACCCGCCTTTTTTTTTTCTTGGCCCGGCGGGAGTAGACTAAGCAGGTCTAGGTTGGACCGGTTCAGCTCTAACACAGTCTTCTTTTCTTTCTTTTTTTTTTTCTTGGACCGGTTCAGGTCTAACACAGTATTCTTTTATTTTTTTCCTATCACTACAGAAACTTGTCTCCTTGGTTAGAACACAATCCCATGATACACACCAACTTCCTGAAAGCTCTGCAAGATTTGCAACCTTAGATGTGTATCTTAGGCAAATTGATGGTGATAGAACTATTCTAGCTGATTATAAAGAGGGTAAATTGTTAGTGAAGTGAGAGTTGGTGAACACGCCAGTTCTAAGGAGGCATTAGTCTTTCATTAAAGAAAAATGATTTAAATTGGTTGTACATAAGCTCTTCATGTGGAAGATGATATGGTCACCTTTTAAATCAAATAAATTGATACCTAAATCATCATATTGACCATGCTGGACTTTTCTTCTTCCCTGTACTAGAACAAGAGGTTTCACTTGCTTGTTTTACCAAGAAATAAGTATTTCCTGAGGGGTGATGAAATGTCTTATATTTAGATAAAATAATGTAGTATTAAAATATTGAATAAGAGGAGTGGAATCAGACACGAAGAGGAGGACCGCGACACTAATTTTGTTGATGGAAAAGGATATGTGGCTTTCAATAAAACCAAACAAAACCAAACAATGAGAGAAGCAATGTGCTTCCCTAAGAATTTTCACATCAATCAAATAGTTAGAATAAGTCTAATTCAATTGTTCATCATTTGCATTTCCTAAGTTCTTTTATGTGGAAATTCCGGAGCCCATGGGACCCACCAAAACTCCATATCAACCAATTTTTGTGCGTTGATCAAATCAACCGTAAAATGATTGTCAGCCTCAGCAATGTATTAATAATTGCTAATAATTATATCATATTTTATTCAATAATTTTAGGACTAATAATAGCACTTATAATATGTAACTTTTCTACAATTAGGAGCAAGAAATATGATTCAAGTTTCTTCTTTTTTATTTGTTTCCGATTTTTATAGTGATATCAGAGCATATTCTTATTCCCCTCATCGTAAGAATTTTTAAATTGTTCCACCCAACTTGTGATCCTTTAAGCAATATCGCTCTAAACATCGTTGCCAGGTTCTTACATCTCGCCCGCTGCGTCACTAGGAACACGCTAATGTTGGGATCACACAAGTGTTAGAATTCTCACTTCAACTCATACACGCGTTGTCAATCTCTCTTGTCTTTGCATACAAGACTTCTTTTCGGCTTATAATCTCTTTCTTTCATAGATATCTTACCTCAGATTGTGATATGATTCTTCTTACTTAATCATGAATATGGTTAAATATGGAAAGACCTCCAATAAGTGCATCCAGCCATGAAACCAATCGTTCATGATCATAACGATAGTCATGAAAGCTTCTGCTAAAATCTACCATTAACCATCTCCAATGGACACAATCAATTGTAATGTTCATAAGTGAACAGAGCAATGATGCTTATCTCATGAGCACAATCATTCCTCCTAAGAAAGAAAATCAAAAGTTTAAACCATGCAACAAAAACAATACATCAAGCCTTTATCCTATACATGGGTTGACCATATGAATATTTTTTATCCATTGTGTCCTATTAACAATCAAATTCTCATTTAAATCTAATTAAAAAAAGAAGTTATTTTTAGTTCAACCTCTACCGTTCTTAACATATGTTGACATATACTCTTCTAACTTATTCATTAGAAGTCTGACGTTTTATATGACTAAATCATCTGAGGCAACTCTTTCTAATCTTATTTGCCATTGGAGCTACTCCAACCTTTCACATATATACTCATTTTGTATTCTGTCTCCAAGCGTAAAATCACTCATACACCTTAGCACTCATCTATACAACACTTAATTTTATGCTTCTATTTTAATGGAAAACATTTGAGCCACAAAGCATTAGGTATCACCATCATCTTATAAAACTTTACCTTAAGTTTGAGGGGTACTTTCTATCACACAACAGACCTAATGTATTCCTTCACTTCAACTATACAACATGAATTATACTAAAAATATCTTCATCTATTTCACAATCACTTTGAACAATAGACATGATATATCTAAAACATGCACTCTTTTTAAAGACTTGATCAACCAATGTCATGATCCTAATACTAGATTTATTACTACTAAAATTACACTCCATGTATTCAATTTTAAATCTTTCAAATGAAACCTTTAGACTCTAAGGTTGACCTCTATAATTCAATTTTTCTTTCAACTATGTCTCTATTCTCACAACAAGAAGAATAAAATCAACAAAAACCATACACTGGTATATCCTCTTGCAAATGTTTAGCAAGAACATTCAAAAACAAAGAAAAAAATACGGCCTAAAGCTAATCCTTAATATAATCAAACTGACATAGAAAATACTTTATCAAACCACCTAGTGTTTGAACACAAATAACAACTCTTATATACATATCCTTAATGGTTTGAATATAAGCGTCAGTAACTATTTTCTTTTCTAGAACTCTCCAGAGCATTTCTCTAAGAACTTTATGATATGTTTTCTCTAAATCAATAAATATCATATGAAGATCATAATTACTCTTTTTTATACTTCTCTATCAAACCACTTAACAAAGTGTATAGCTTTCATAGTAGATCTATCGAGCATGAATCCAATTTGATTTGAAGAAACATTAGTATCACATCATAAAGTATGCTCAATTACTCTCCCCCATAATTTTAATATATGAGATTAATTTAATTCTTCTATAATTTGTACACTCTTCTACATCACATTTATTCTTAAAATAGAAACCAACACACTCCACTCATCTGGCATTTTCTTAGTCTTCAAAATAATATTAATAAGTTTATGTTAGACCGGTCCAGTCGGTCCGACCCAGACGCGAAACAACGAAAGTTTCTCCGCCGACTACGAATGCCGTGCGAGCCGCAGGTCCACGGGAGCTCATTTAGGAAGGTTTTTGAATGGATTCTATGAGCGAATTTGAATGTATGGATTGTTTAGGGATTTCCTTTTGATTTGTATGCATTAAATACTTTGTTTTCCTAGGGTTAGGGCTTCTTGAATTTGGCTGAAATTTGAGATCTCTTAGATTTAGGTTTCTTTGGGCTCTAACGGCGTTTAGAGATTTGGGAGAGATCGATCCTCCTCTCGAATTGAGGATCAAGTGTATCTTGCTATTTTCCATGTCCCTTTAATCAAATAATACAAATTATCTACTGTTTTTGTGGTTGTGTGAACTTCGTGAAGATTTCTCGCTATTTTCCGAAGATTGATAGGAAATACTTGAGATCTACAAGTGTTTCCTACCAAATTTGTATCAAAGCAAGTCTTGGGACTAGTGGATGGCTGATTTCGGCAAATTTCAGCTATGAATATTTGCCCGGAAGAAAGGGGGATTGCTGATTTTGGAGTTTCAAATCCATAATTTGTGATTTTACAAACTCCGAATTGAGATGGCAGCCAAAAAGGTGGATGCTCTAGAAGAAAGGCTTGAAGGGTAGATGAATCAAATCAAAACGACGGTGGAGGAAAGGATTTCCTGTGAGACCTCGTTCCCTTACTGTTCCTCTCATATTTGGATTTTTTCCTCTCAGGATCGTCCAGGACGATTGGAAATCGTCCAGGACGATTGGAAATCGTCCAGGCCGATTGGAAATCGTCCAGGACGATTGGAAATCGTCCAGGACGATTGGAAATCGTCCAGGACGATTGGAAATCGTCCAGGACGATTGGAAATCGTCCAGGACGATTGGAAATCGTCCAGGACGATTGGAAATCGTCCAGGACGACTGATGATTGTAGTGTAGTTCCTGAGTATTGTACATGACTTTTGAGATATGAATCGACTTGTATATTGATGTTTTAAATTTCATAGATGCTTGATAGACTGTCTAATTGAAAGTTTTAGATAACTATGATAAATTGTTTGAGTAATTGATTGACATTCTTTCCAAGTTTGATCTTGGGGCATCACATTTCCTCCATGGAAGGACAATTCACCGTTCTCTGAGATATGATGAATAAGATGTTAGAGATTCAAAACCAAACGGCGGCGTCCGTGGCAAAAGGAGGGGAAGGAAAAAAGTACGAATTCGAAAATTCGTAGGGAGGAAGATGAGGTGGAAATCATGGAGGGAAAAAGAAGGAAACCCTATATGGAGCCTTTCCAGTGGGAGGATGGAAGAGGTAGGTATGGGGAAAGGCATGGGTATGGAGGGATGGAGCAAAGGGGTGCTGATTGGGAACGCCGGGAGAGACATTATGGTCGTCGAGGTGCTGATTTTAAAGAAAGAAGAGGGGAATTCGAAGGGGGTTTTGGCTATGGCAGGGCAAGGGAAAACCGGGAGACGTGGGGTGGGCCGAGCACTTGGGAGAGAGGAAGCTATGGAGGAATAAGGGGGAATGGTGGAGATCAGAAGGAGAGGAAGTTGAAGATGCCTATCTTCGAGGGGGAGAATGCGTATGGGTGGATCTATAAGGTGAAGAGGTACTTTGTCGTTAATGGGCTAACAGAGGAGGAGAAGCTGACAGCAAGAGGCCTATGTTTGGAGGGAAAGACATTGTCATGGTACCAGTGGAGAGACCAGAGGAGACCTATCGAGACTGACATGAATTCAAGGACTGCATAATAGAACGTTTCCAAACCGACCGGGGAGGAGATTTCTATGAGCAGTTCTTTGCTCTGGCACAGGAGGGATCAGTAGCAGACTACCGTGAGCAATTTGAGAACCTAGCCAGTAGGGTGGAGCAATTATCAAATACGGTATTGGAGGGAAACTTCATGAAGGGGTTGAAGGCAGAAATTCGAGCAGCATTGAAGGTTTTGATGCCTCGTGACTTGGGGGAGGCCATGAAGTTGGCCCAGCTGGTGAAAAATCAGAAGAATCTAGCGAAGGGAGCCAGGAGCAATAGCTTAGGAGGCTCTTACAGGACGACGACCACTCTTCTAGCACCCAAGGGGCCTGCATCAGGCAGCATTAATGAGACCACCAGGGAGAAGCTAGTAGGAGGAGGGAGTGGGGAAAATTTCAAGAGGTTGACAGAGAAGGAGATGCAAGAGATGAGGGCAAAGGGGTTGTGTTTCAGATGTGAGGAGAAGTATATGCCAGGATATCGGTGCAAGGACCGAACTCTTCAGGTTCTCACCGTTTGTGATGACGAGGAAACT